GACGAGTACTTCTCCGTCACCCAAGTATCGTCCTTATTGGTGTTGCCATAGCGAAGGCAGAATGATGCAGCAAACAGCGTGACAGACGTCGTCAAAAGCACGGCGTGAAGAGCCCAAGGCCAATACCGCAGAAGCCGCCGCGCCTTCTCTTTGCACGGGTGTTCATCGCCGAGCCTCATCCGCCTCCATGTCGCTTCGTTTCCTCCTGTGGCGGCCTCTACGTTCTCCGTGCTCTCCGTGTTGAGGCTTCCGGCGAGACTCTCGACTTCCTCCTCCTCGTGGGGTACGGACCGGTAGACCTTTTCTGAAGACATAATTATTAAAGAGAGAGGGACCCTCTTCGGCAGGCAAGGTAGTAGCACCGGAAGGTTAAGTTGGAGCACGCCAGGTGCCTTAATTAAGAAAGAATAGAAGGCGAAAGAAGGGATGCTGTCACGAATTTGACTGCAAGGGAATAGTACAACGACGTCAAGTCGGGTATAGAAACGGATGATGGGAATTGAAAGTGACCAAACAAGAAAGAGACAAGAAGGGAGAATAATAGAGTGGTAAGCACAGAACGGGGAGAAGGGGAGGGGAAACAGTTCGGAGGCAAGGCCAGCAGCTCTCTGAGAAGGTAAGAAGAGACGAGTGCCAAGACGATCGCTTCGGGCGCGGAAAATCAGATTACCAAACTAATGGGTGATCACAGACCGTCCAAGTCGATTAGTCGATGGGTGTGGGAAGAGGAGACTCGGTAGGGAGAGAGGGAGAGAGAGGGCACGGGCAAGAGGCGGCGTCAGCGAGAGGCTACGCGCCGCAACTATGTCCCAACTCGAACAATGACAGGACTCGACTTTGGAAGGGGACCCAGTTCGCTCAAGACCGAGGGAGGAAAAGTCGCCGTCTGGCAGGTGTGTGCAATGCAACCTCGCCCCGTTGGGATACTTGGGATCCATGGACCATAGTGGCATAGGCTCTGGATAGTCGGATGGAAATTGCCAGCTAGCGAGATGTCATCCAGCCACCAGAAACGTTTGGGCTGTTTGATCTTCGTTGCGAAGTTGCGGCACAGGCCAAGAAGCCGATCATCCCAAGCAAGAATAGACGAGACAGAAAAGAGGTCGAGTCCGTCACAGCCGGGGGCGCGACTGGGAATGTAAGTCGACTCGGTCAAGTTGCAAGGCTTGGTTCAAGTGGTCATGGGCAATACTGCGTGCTACGTGCGCCGTGCAGTGAGGGATGATAATAGATGGTCGGAAATAATTAGCCGCTCTCGTCCAATAACCACGGCGATGATTGGGCTGGCCCTTGTTGATGAACAATCCCATGAACGGGATTTCGTGCAGTCTTGGTAACATCTGCAGGGCTACTCATGTCAGGTTTAGTCAGGCCCAAGCCCTGGCTCTTGTATCCTTGCCTCCGTCCCTGCAGCAGGCTTTTTGCCTCGAGAATGTGATAGAGAGCTGAGAACCTTCTTCCCATAGTCAAGAGTTGAAGAGACTCAAAGAGAGAGAAAGAAGCAAAGAAAAAGGGGCCCCTGGTAATGGCACAGCTGAGGCGTTGGTGCGGTGTCTCAGAACAGGGGTGTGTCGAAACGCGGAGTTTGGTGCGACAGGGTATGGCTTGCGGGGGAGATCCCACGACCAGTCACCACGTTCCAGCGCCTCCAGCCCATCCCACAGGGGATGCACCGACCACTCACGAACGCCGCAAGGCGCCAGGGAAGAGCCCGGGCCGCCTATGAGGCTCAAAACCCGGCAACTTGATGCCGCATTGCTCATGGAATATCCACCACCACAGGACACCAACAGTGGTCGGTTTTGAGTCGGTACACCTTTTTAATCTTGACCCAGGTTCGGTTGCTGTCAGGTCTTGGCATTCTGGGACTGTGGCTGTATCAGAGGTCCCTTGTGCGGCTCATCCTCTCTAGCGTACGAGTAACAGTACGACAGGAGATGGCTGATGGATCATCACCGGGCCACCCTACCAGCGTATTTCCCCGACACACTGCGGCGTCGCGAAGACCTTCCGTAACGTCCTGTCGATCAGGCTTAGCATCAGATCGTGTTGGGGTCTGTCGAACGAGACGCCAGGCACAACGAGAGAACACCCTCGCTTTCCCCTGTGTGCTCCCCGTCTGCTGACCGCCCAGGGTAGTCTTGGAACTTCTTGGAACTGAAACTGCAAGCGAGTCCAGTACCACATCCATGTTCATGTCTAAAGGGAATAAGGTAGTATGCTTGTTGTCTTCTCATTGCTTGGTACGAGGAGTGCTCCGTATACGAGCTTTCGAAGTGGAGGACGACAACCATCGTCGATACCGCAAGCGCGGGATTCGGCTCACATCCTAGTCCAGGAACCTCCCTTCCAGCCTCCCCGCGTCCAGCATCTTGGTGCTGTTCGACATCATCAGCGTAGCCCCGACGAGTTTTGAACGAGTCCCATCTTTTGCGGCTAGCTCAGTCCGAGCAACTATCGCAAGCCGTCATAGCCCATGGCCCTGTCTCTCCACCCCCTTTCAGACCCTTTCCATCTGGTATCCCGACTCTGAGACGTTTCTGGTCCTACGCGGCAGGCCGATCAGAGTTTGACGCCTTCTAGTCGAGGCCCTTTTCGTCCAAACTTGGGGCTTCAACCCATGCCTTCGTCACTTAGTCGAATGGAGACTCGGGAATGGACCAAGTGCCGTGCCAAAAGGGGGGGTGCCTTGTCAATTCGCTGTGGAGGGACGAAAACGCAGAGGTCGTTGAGCAAGATATAATATCTTCTCAAACCCGCTCATCAGCCCACCATTGCCTGACCATCCGTACATCTCATTCCACTGTTGGCCCCTGATCGCTTGACGCGACCCTTCATTCCTTTCTCTTGTAATCCAGTTGCTGTCATTTGCTGCCGGTCAGCCAATCATTCTTTTCAAGATGCACTACCCATCCTTTGGCCACTTCCTCTTGGCGAGCATCCTTGCCGTCCAAGGTGTTCAGTCGTTGAACCTCATCCCCACGGGTCAGGTCGCCAGACGCTATGTAGTAAGTTTGCCTTCCACGATGAGTCTAAAGTGTGGGAACGCGAGGACTAATATGAGGTTAAATAGGCTCCCGCCTTGGCACTCGCCATGCCTGCCCTGGCTGCGCCCCAGGCTGCCAGCATCGAGGCTCGTGAGGTAAAATCCAATCTTCTCAAATGTGCTCAGATCAAAGAGTTATATATATACTAACACCTCCTCTCAGCCTCACCACCGCGGCAAGAAGACCAAGAAGGCCAAGGCCGCTAAGCGCGAGGAGTCTGCTGTCGATGAAGCCTTTGAGGCTCACGACATCGAGGCCCGCGAGCCCCACCACCGCGGCAAGAAGACCAAGAAGGCCAAGGCTGCGAAGCGTGAGGAGTCTGCTGTCGATGAAGCCTTTGAGGCTCACGACATCGAGGCCCGCGAGCCCCACCACCGTGGTAAGAAGACCAAGAAGGCTAAGGCCGCCAAGCGCGAGGAGTCTGCCGTCGACGAGGCTCTCGAGGCTCGTGATATTGAGGCTCGTGAGCCCCACCACCGCGGCAAGAAGACCAAGAAGGCTAAGGCCGCCAAGCGTGAGGAGTCTGCTGTCGACGAGGCCCTCGAGGCCCGCGATGTCGAATCCCGCGAGCCTCACCACCGCGGCAAGAAGACTAAGAAGGCCAAGGCTGCTAAGCGCGACGAGTCTGCCTCCGACGAAGCCATCGAGTCTGCCGAGCACGAGATTGAGGCTCGCGAGCCCCACCACCGTGGAAAGAAGACCAAGAAGGCGAAGGCCGCCAAGCGTGACGAATTTGTCTCTGAGGAGGCCGTCGAGTCTGCTGAGCACGAGATCGAGGCCCGTGAACCCCACCACCGCGGCAAGAAGACTAAGAAGGCGAAGGCCGCCAAGCGCGATGAGTCCGCCTCCGACGAAGCCATCGAGTCTGCCGAGCACGAGATTGAGGCTCGCGAACCCCACCACCGTGGCAAGAAGACCAAGAAGGCGAAGGCTGCTAAGCGTGACGAGTCCGCCTCCGACGACGCCGCTGAGCACTCCGTCGAGACGCGCGAGCCCCACCACCGCGGCAAGAAGACCAAGAAGGCGAAGGCTGCCAAGCGCGACGAGTTCGCTTCTGAGGACGCTGCCGAGCACGCCGTTGAGGCTCGTGAGCCCCATCACCGCGGCAAGAAGACCAAGAAGGCCAAGGCCGCTAAGCGCGACGAGTACGCCGCCGTTGAGGCTCGCGCTTTCACCGCTTAAGGGGGGTTGTCCAACTTTGTGGCAGACATGGGGGCCAACAACTTAATGCTCTGACCCGGGCAACCCTTGAGTTGAGACGACCGCCAGTTCTTCCTTGTATCTAGAGTCCGAAATTCACAGCAAATTACATCAAGTTCGGATTCGGTTGACAGGTTCGCGTTCGCAAACCAACTTGGCCAATGCTGTGTTGTGTAGACTAGAAAATCAGCTTCTCATTTTTCCATATATTTTTAACAGTAATAATGACAGTACCAAAGTGCATTTTCTCTTGGCCCAAACATGTCCTTGGTCGTGCGTCGTTGACCGTGAAACTCTACTGCCGTCGCAAGGCCGGCAGACTTCGGTCTGATTCTTTTTTCTCCTTTGCTGCTTGCATGAACCGCAACGTGTTGCGACGAAATTAGTGTTTCGCCTCAAAGTCATTCCTGACGTTGGGACGATATCGAAACATCTCGGAGCCGGACCGGCCGCCCATTGCGGAGGCGGGGTGACTAGGACACCCCTCGTTATCGCGCTCGTAACGTCCGTATGGTGGATGCGAAAGCAGCGGAGACCCCGATCAAGATCCCAAAGACCAGTTGACGGACATCCATGGTGGAAGTACGCGAATAATTGACCCGGGACTAGCGATATCCGAAAATGCCATGACGTGTGTCGTTTGTTGGAGCCACTTGACCCAGCAACTTGGAGGCTCACGGATTTCCACATTGCCAAGAGTTGCTGTTCGAACGTGATCTACCAGGGACGCCCAGTGATTCGTTTCGGAAAGGATCATTGCCAGGAACTGCGAGCCTTGGGTCGTAGCAACTCGTCGAGATCGCTTTCGGTCCTTTCCCCAAGAACCCCCGTGGTCTTTTGCTCATCTCCCGCTGATTTGTACCATCGATTGAACCGTGGATCATGGACGGCCATCTCCCGAACTAGTTCCACTTGGCAGTTCTCAACTTCATCACAATTCCAGTATGTAGCCACATGGAAATAGCAGACGAGACGGGAGGCCTGAGCATAGCCGAACATTCGCATCTTCCATTCCAATTGGTATGGCTCGCGACCGTAGGCTGATTCTTTTTTTGACTTTGCTCGAATTTCCAAGGGTCAAAGCGAACTTCCGTCATCTTGTCTGTTACATTAAAGACCGCAAAGTCCGGCTGGACCAATGCCAGCTCGTCGAGACCGAAGCTAGAATGTTGACTAACATCTTTTTCATCGTTCTCTTTCATTAAATGTGAATACCGTGTTTCTTGAGCTTGATGTGATCGAATGCTTGATTGGCGTTCACCGTGTTGATGATGTGCATGATGGGTGGTCGTGGAGCTCTCAGGTCGCGATTAGAATAAGGTAGCGAATGCCTGACGAGGCTTATGTAATGCACCCACGCTCCGCCTCGAAGTGATAGCTTTATCTTATCGATAAGATACGGCTGAGGCAGCTGGATGGTGGGGTAAGTCCTTCCATTGTCACCAGCATCTCCAACCTTCCTGTGAGCCTAAGCCGTCCCTCAACGTCATCTCCTGCAAACACAACTGCTCACGCGGAAACGAGCAGTCAAGATGGAGACAGCTCTCAAGTCGTGGGGTATGTCGTGAAATCTTTTACACTGTCGCCATTGCCGCGCCCAATACAGCTGACCACTTGCTCTAGAGCTCGACAACAACGTAAAGTTGGTTGACACCAAGCGCGACGCTCTCTACAACCTCGACCACGATGCCCAGAAGGAACAGATGAACGCCCGCCCGTGGGCCGCGAACCCGAACCACTTCAAAAATGTCCGCATAAGCGCCGTGGCTCTCATCAAGATGGTGATGCACGCCCGTTCCGGCGGCAACCTCGAGGTGATGGGTCTCATGCAGGGCTATGTCAATGGCGACACTTTCATCGTTACGGATGCCTTCCGATTACCCGTGGAGGGAACCGAGACGCGCGTCAACGCCCAGGGCGACGCCGAAGAATACATGGTCGAATACCTCAGCCTCTGCCGTGAGCAGGGCAGAATGGAGAACGTCGTCGGGTGGTATCACTCACATCCGGGCTACGGCTGCTGGCTGTCCGGCATCGACGTCGGCACCCAGGCGCTGCAGCAGCAATTCCAGGAGCCCTTCCTCGCCGTCGTCATCGACCCTGACCGCACCATCAACGCAGGCAAGGTGGAGATTGGAGCTTTCCGAACGTACCCCGAGAACTACATCAAGGAGAAGGAGGGCGGGGCCAGCGGCAGTGGCGTTACCAGCGACGGATGGCAGGAAGTCCCTCTGGCGAAGGCGGCAGAGTTCGGCGCTCACGCGAACAAGTACTACAGCCTCGAGGTGTCCCATTTCAAGAGCACGCTTGAGTCCCAGATGCTGGAGCTGCTGTGGCACAAGTACTGGGTACAGACGCTGAGCCAAAGCCCGCTCATTACGAATCGCGACTACGGAAACAAACAGATGCTTGATCTCGCATCCAAGATCAAGGAGACTACGACACAAGTCGCCCGTCAGGGACGGAGTGCTCCGGGAACGGGTGGTGTCGGCGCGGCCAGCAAAAAGGTCGACGGACTGCTCGAGAAGCTCGTGAAGGACAGCAATACTGTGGCGATGCAGGAGCGGACTGGTCTCGTTGCGATGGAGGTGAAGAAGAAGATCTTCAATGACGTGAGCACGAATGCGTCGTGAGTCTGGTAGAAGTTTCGCTTTGTTGCTTGGCCTCGATACAGGTCTTCGCGAGGTCCTGGGCATGATAGATGGCGTTCAGAGGATAGGGTGGGCTTTGGCCCCGAAATGATGACATGATTTTGAGCCGTAATCGCTGCTGTAAAATGATGTTTTACCTGATTGAAGTGCCTCCGCTGATATCCCACTAAGTCTTTCAAGCCCTCTAGCCTTATTGTGACTGTTTGAGCTGCCCACGTGAGGCTTGAGCTTGACCACGATCTTGAATCGTAAGCTGTTTTCCGGGTGAAAAGTACACACCTAGTATCCCGCGAATACATTGCACCTAAAAAGCTCAGCCTCAACATACGATGACCTTCAGATGACACGTTCCAAGGGGCCGAGACGGTTCATTTCAAGCTGGCATCGAATACTCAGCAGACGAAAGCAGCCTCTGTGCCGATGAAGTCCCTTCCTTTCTTCGGTTCTCTGCCAAAGGAAGGAAATGATTTTCGCAGCCACATCTGACCTTGTTACATTTGCATGCCTTCCTACTAATTCTTTCGGTCCAGACACAGGCTTTCGGACTAAATATTTGCTGTGTTACACAGATCACTCTGAACTTGCAATTATCGAATGCATCAGACCGGTGAGAGCTCCTAAGTAACTTCGCCGACCAAGTGATGTCAACTTTTCCCAATCATGCTCATTCACGAATATTTCATCTCTCTTATAACGCTTGCAAAAGGTTCCCTTCCTGGGCGAACCAACGCCGTTTCCCATCGTCAGTGACCAAAACATAGCTAACATCACCTGACGGCGGGTCCTCAGTGAAGCTTCTCGGCTTTCCCTTGCTCCAGCACTATATCACACTCTACGTCTATGCCTTGTCTAGTGAGAAATACATACAGATGCACAATCATGTTTGTTTGCGCTAGGATGAGACCCAGGAAGACCGGCTCAAGTTGCGCGTCGCCGGTCCTCAGCAAGAAAACCATGTTCAGAGCCAATGCCATCCAGTATTTCAATACTGTCATCCAGAAACGAGTAGCTCATTTCTTGTCAAAGAGTTTTTGCCTTCAGCCCTTATCGAGTAGTAGGTTCATCGCTCAACACATCCGTCCAGGAAACGACCATCTGGCGCGATGTACGACCTTAGATGTGGCATTTCCCAAGCACACTGGCTTATGGAGTGTACTTCCCGAATGTCACCACGTTCATGTCGAGCTTAAGCCAACATCACTACTGTAGAGAATGATTCAATGATCATGGCTATTAGGTGGCGATCTCCTGGTAAAATCGCACCGATGGAGTGCTTGTCCCGCCACATATGAAGACAAACCTCTCAGACATCACCAGCTCTCTGGACTCAATGGAAGGTTCTTCAGAGAGAGTGGATGAGCGACGGCTTTCAAAGACTGGCTATATGTATCAAGGAAGTGATTATTTCTCCAGGGTCGCAAACGAGGCAGAGGTAATGCAGAGGACCACTCAGGCATTGCGACGTAAGCGGATGTGCTGGGCTCACATTCCCGAGCTCTATGATGTCTCCTTTGCTTGCGGTTCTGGAAAGAAATACTGTCGCCGACCGATTCGAGACCGCAAACCTAAAGCTTTGGCTCCTGACCTCCAGAGTAGTAGCCTAGATGAGAGCATTGGATCCTAGACTGGAACCACGTGGCCCATCTTAGCCTCCACGGCCAAGGGCAGAATACCTGGGCGCTTTAGGCTTCTACGATAGACGGGCCCCTCGATATGGGCATTAGGTACATGGCGGCGCGAACACGGGCATATTCACATCCCTTCAAGCTCCGGCTATTTGCCTGATATCATCCTTTGGCTCCCTTTGCTATATTTTTCATGTACTCATAGATCCGCATTTAACTTATGAGATGAAGATTCAGAGCATGGCGGTTAAGCGTCTGTCATGTTCGTATTATCGGATACAGTTATATGATTCGCTGTGTCACATTGGAGATAACATAAGAGTCTTTTGAGGTATGTTTCATCGTATCATCAAGATGATTGCATATTCAGATGCATACATAGACGAGTTGGTATGCTGAGCTTCAAAGGTCAAAACATCGCCCTATTTCAAGATGAGACTTACGTCCGCTCCTCATCCACCTCGTCATCAGTCCTCTCGAAACGGTGCACAATATGCCAGAGATCGTCCAGCGACGTTTTCCGGACGAGGCTCAGACGTAGCATCTCGCCAACTCGACCACGAGGCAAACTGCGTCAACTCTTACGAATCTACCGAGGCCGAGAGGAACACTTCCTAATCTACCACTCACTTAGTCTCACTGTTCCCGCAGGCTTTTACCTTCCACCATCATAACCGCCTCATGCCGGTCGGCGAAATATCAACAATAGTCCAGGCCCCGGAAACCGATTCTCAACGTATGTATCCAAATGGCCTCTTTCCTTCTAGACCTACCGTAACCTGTCATGGTACGTCCTCTTCCATCGGCACCCTTCCCTAGAAAGGACGGCTGAATACCACTAAAGACTTTGTCCATCATTCATCGCTTAGGCCATTTCCGCATCGAATCCTCTGATATCGAACACATGTCGATGCCTGTCCAAGCAGCAACAAGCTACATGGCTCAAGTAACCCCCCTAAAACTGACCCGTTCTCAGAAAACATCGTCACGACCAACGTCCCAATTTCAGCCTTGTCCAATCCCAGGGTTCGTCGTCCGAGGTCGATCGAGTTCTTCGAAATAAAAGTCGTCCGCCTCGCTCCAATCGTATACCCTCACCATATCCCTCCTCTTGTTGACACCTCAAACCTCTGCCCTTCCCAGTCGGCCAACAGCATCCATCATACTTTGCACGAGTCAAAGCCAGTCTCCCATGCCATCCACTCAACCTCAATCCCGGCCCGTATATCCAATTGCCTGTTGTCGTCGTCGTCGTCTTCGTGCTGACCGTATGATCCTCATTCATCCCGGGGCGATGGAAATGCCTGGTCCTTCATCGCGATTCATATAGCAGCCAACGCAATCGATCTCAATCACCTCTCATAACCCCCAAGCACAACCTCAGCCCCAGACCCTCAACCAAATATTCCGCGAGAAACCTGTAAAGCAAGCCATCAAGCAAACGAGCAAGAAAAGTAAAAGGCAAGTCCAAGAGAGTCCAAGGGGGAAAATACCCTCCCCCTAAATACACGCTCCTTCCCCTCCTTCTCCAAGTACACCACCCATCCCCAAAATGTCGCCATCCAAGAGAACAACACGTAAACACCATATCCGCATCACCTCACGCAATCCACGCCACTGAACTTTCACACTCTCACATTCTGTATAGCCTCTGCTGTACAATCTCTGTAACTCGTTGTAACAGTGTACCACCAACACAAGTCTCTCGATACATCATCCCCAGACCCATCACGCAACCAGACTCGAATCTACGTGTCACCCAACGCCTCAATCGAAACTCGATCAACCGTTTCGCCCAACACGAAGCTTCACACCATCACCATAACCATCACCATCGCCGCTACCGTCCCGTCCCCTCCCACCCCCCCCCCCCCGGCAGTCCCATCACCACCGCACACACCAAACGATCCAACCACCCATCTCGCATCCTCCCTCACCGCCTCACAGCCTCACCGATCGCGCCAAGCACATCAAGTCCCTACATACCTTATCTGCTGTCCGCAAACTACATCCATCGAAACAAGGTACCCTGACTAGCCAACCCCATCGCCCAGTATGCCCCCCGAAACTCAAAAATCATCCTCTTGACTCTTGCAGTCCATACAACTCGCACAAAGTCCTTGCCATCCACCTTTCTTCACAATCACATCCACAACAACTTCCATACATAGGCCGTCCTTACCAATCCCACTGTGACTGTAGTCTGTAGACCCCTCCTCCTCCTCCTCCTCCTCCCCTGTAAACTTTGTTCCCGATTACCCTACGCACATATCTAGCGTGGACGGAAATGTCATGAAATCACAACGTGTATGTCAACAAAGTCCCAAGGATCCTTTTCTGTATTCACAAACGTATAACCATTGTGTAATATTTCCCAGCCTCGAAGGGCAGAATGTCTTCTCACGTGTCAGTACAGAATACTCTTGAAATGGCAGGTGGATATCCGTAAGGGCAACAAACTCATTTCCGTTGAGCCTCAATCCAAAAGCAAGTTGCATCTCACGCGAGAAATCCAACGACTTCACTTTACACCGTCTATAGCCGCCCATGACCCGAAAATCCTCGTCGATCAACACATCACCACATGCTAAATCGCAACACCTCATCGTTTCGAAACATTCCTCTAGTCTACCTGTGGAAGGTAATCCAAGATTTCCCATGGTCAAATTTCACAACACGAACAAAAAAAAAACAAAGGTTCCCCGCGGTCCTAGCAGATCCCAAAAGTTCCCTCAACGTCCAACATCCTTACCGCCTTCCGAATACCCCTTCCAACGCCCGACGCTGAAACCCTCAAGGCTCGTAGGTCCCAAAGCCTTTCTACACCTCCTTCTTAAAAAGGCAGTCGGCAAACACGAACCGAAAGGAACGATAAGAAGGGTGCCCCAGTCCAGCCAAGGAACATCCCAACCTCCTTCTAGAAGGCCACGATGGACGGTTGGGCTCCATACCGTCGTGGCCGTGTACGAATAGAAAATCAGCAGGAGGGGCCGGAAGAGAAAAAAAGAATGAGCAGGACTCCGCTAAAGAAGTGGGCAGCACGCAAGGAAATAAGATATCACCCGCGGATCCCTGCAACGTAGTGTAGACTTACACCCACCGGAGCCCCGTGCAAAGTTCAACTTCAAGTCCTTGCTCTTCTGAACCTCACACCCCTAGGATTGGCCCTAGGGCTCTCCATATCCATACGATGTTGACCGTATTCTTTGGTTGTCAACAACTGGCTTTTCTAAGGCGCCGTAAGGACCTGCAAGGATACTCCTCATCTCCCCTCTTCGGAGCGCCCGCAGACAGGACCCCTAATTAAGTCGAACTGCTCTGGTCGACTGGTTCTCCCTGGAACACCACATGGGAGATTCTGGGACCCCTTAAATTGTCCCTGGACACGTAACAATATCCATAAAACCCTAGAAAATGAAGGCCACAGGTGCAGAGCAGCGCAGATACCAATAGTCGTTGCCACAGCCATGTGCAAACGGGCGCACCATCGCGTAACGCGCGACGTCCCGAGCGGATCCCGACGATTTGGTAACATCATCTGCAAGGAGGTGGCGAACTTTTTCCCGCACTGGGCTGCAGCCAGTGAGCCACAGAAGAACATGCTCACTCTGTGCAAAGCATTCGTACGAATACAGGATGCTCTGGAGACTGGAGAATGCTCTAGAGTCGGGAGACTGGAGCTCTATCCGCGAACCGCGTAACCGATCGGACGAGAGTGGGAATTTCCGCATTCCGCATCTTCTTGGGGCAAAGTTTGGTGGGATCGATGGCTGCCAACTGCCGAGGCGTGGCGGCCCCCGAGCGCACAAGCGCACAAAGTGGAATTGTCGACCTGGCGATTTTCGCGTCTGTCCAGTATCTACGGATTCAGCCTGCGACCTGCCTCTGCACTCCCGAATCCCGTAGGCTGGCGGCGGCTGGTCCAACACGGGCTTCGCTCGTCTCTCGGACATGGAACTGTCAAAATGTCAGTGATTCCGGCCCGTGTGGATGCCACTACTGCAGAAAATGAGGACTAGGTAATTCCGAAAGTGTGAATCAAAATGGCCCCCACCACCAGGTAGCCGTAGCGTAGGGCATCGTCTCCCGACAAGTCCGATAATATGTCAGTCCGCCGACTTGAAGCGAGCGCGACATTGCAGGAGAAGGCAAAGAAGGCATGCCAGTCGTGAGCCACGTCTTCGGCTTGGCCGCATCTGTCCTTCTACTGCGGTGAGTGGTGGTCCGCAGCCCAACCTCAATTTCTCGAGACTTCTGCCACCTGTGACTCGTGAGTGTGACTTGACCGCCTGTCTGCCCACCCCGGTCATATTGTCGCAATTTCGCACGCTCTATCCGAACATTTGCTCCATCGGTATCAGCAGCAGCCGGTCTTTTGAAGGCGGTCAGCATTTCATGTCTAGAAGTTGCTCTGCATCCACCTAGCATTGCACCAAATATCAATGGACATTCGAGTTAGGCCTCCATGCATCAGTGCGTTTTGTGACCCCTGTTCGCGCAACGTGTTCCTGGGCTTTGCTGCTTGCCCTGCATAAAGTATGTGGGAAACTCAACACTCCAACCTGCGCTAGTAGATGCTAGTAAGAATATTTGTTCAATATGTGATGTGAGATTGGGCTCTTCAACTAAAAACAATATGCCCCAGTAGGGCGCGCCTATGCTCTTCATACGGATTCTGATGCCGTATTGTTTGATTCCCATGTCCCCATCCACGCATGCTGGGAATCGTCGCTGCGCCGTGACAAATCAACCTTGACGGCAGCACCTTGCTAATCCAAAAACTCCGGCTCTCCTGCGTCGTCGCTATGTCCTCTCGCATTTCGCATGCATAGATCAGAAAGGGAAGAAAAAAAAAGACCCCCCCCCCCCAGCCCTGTTCCTGTCTTGCTGTGTGTGGTGCGCTATCCCTGAGTCATGTCGCTGCATCCCCGTTTGGTCATTTTGGCGTCACAACTTGGCCTGCATTTCACATGCGAGGGTCGAGTCAATGTCCCGCCAGGAGATGGGCTGTTGGCGTGGGGGGAACTTCTTGCTGGAGCCGGATCCGATGAAGAGTCCCCACAGGTTGCGCCCTCCGAGTTCTTCCCGCGTGTGAGGTGTGGATTTGTCCTCCGAGTGGATATCGACGAACCTACGGGTTTCGGGTCCTTGGCCGAGTCCAGTGTCGAAGGAAATAACCGGAGGAGCGGAGTAAAATCGAGAAGGATGGGAAGAAAGTTGACAGGAAAAGTGATAAACATGCATGCGCCTCAAATGCTCATGGTCCCAGTCCGTCGCTATGCATGTGGTGTCGAATCAAATAAAAATCAAAAGTGCTGTGAGTGGTGGCCTGGTCCTTTGGCTCACCCGTGTGAGAGAGAATGTGTGTTGTGCCGGAGGCTTTGCAGCGTGCGTTGTGCTGAGTTGGAGGTGAAATGTGACCCCACGTCGCTGGCCAGTCTTAGCCCCGCATCTCCCAAGCTCACTCGCTATGAGGAAACTCGGAGGTGCTCGTCGCATGTCGCTGGCATCAGGCCATGCTCTCGGAACCGGGCCGTGTAGGTACGGACGCTTGGCTGTATATGCTGTGTGCGCTTGTGCGCGAAGGGTGTGTCGGACGTGTGTCCACCAATTCTGTCGTTCGAGAAAGCCCCCTTTCCAAATCCAATTCTTTCGTAGGGCAAATTCTTGCCAGCGCATCTCGCGTCCGTCGTTTTTTCTTGGATTGCTCCGTCCTTCCCCTGTTTCTTTGGTACGCCTCGGGTGACTCACCCAGACTGCTCCAGCTCTCATCGGGCCTCGCGGTCCGCTCTCCTCAGTCGGCGATACTCGCTTCTAAGAAAAGTCGACAAACACAGCAGGTAGTGCTGACCCGCAAAAAAGGTGAGCGTGCTCATTTCGAAGAAAAGGCGTGCCGTCGGCCGTCGGCCATCAAAAAGTTCCTCGCCCGTAGGCGGCAGGCGGTAGGCGAAATGCAAAAGTGCCTCTAGCTATTACCAAACAGTAAGGTAAGAGCATGTAAAAAAGGCCCGCAGATCGACTCCTTCTAGAAGCGCAAGAAGGAACCGTAGAGAGAGAAAAAAAAAAAAAATCCTTGGGGGGCGCTAGCCAGTCGTGCCAGTTCCAGCGTAACAGCGTCTCTCTTTTCGTCTTGGGTGCCCCAGACGGCGTCTTGGACGCTTCGGGCAGAAAATGGAGCCCTCGTCTCGGTACTCTGACCAAAGACCGACAGGGAAATCACAGTGCCAGACGTGCGATGATGCTGACCATTCCGCGATATCGGATAAGGCAGGCACTTAATGTCTGGCCCCTTGTTGCGTGGGAATGCGGGCCCCAACGCTTCCCCGTAAATTAGCGCCTCGGGGGGCCCTGCTGAATGACGATTCCACCCGGCAGTGACGGTGCAATCAGGGCAAGCCCACAACATTTCGCAGAACCCCGACCCTCCCACTTCTTGCTTTCTGCCCTTCTCCGCGGACAACACCGTCGTAGTGCAGCACGTTGCGGGAGGGGGATGCGCCATGCCATGGAACAAGCCACACCCATTGCAAGAGAGAGGGAAAAAAAAACAAGCTTGCCGTCGACCATGGGTGTTGGAACCTCAACCCTCGTAGGATTGTGACGTGCTTAAGCCGTGGAGACTGTCCACGCTGCGGCATCGGTGCGCAGTGTTGCATCTCTCTTTTTTCCTTCCTCTCGTAGTGGACTATGTCGGGTTGATGCGATAGAGGCTGGATAGATAGTCGCTTGATGTACCAAGCTCGCATGACACTTTTCTTCAATGCGACACTGGAATCCATCGTGCTGGGACGCCGTCGCTACCAACATCGTAAGGGCGTACGCTGGCCTTTCGCGGCGGTAACGCCCAGCGAGCGCGGCCCGGCCGTTGGTCGTCGAGTTTGCCCTGCTTGCGCATCGCCATCTCCATGACTGCGATACGAATGAAGTCCGAGTTCTCCCGCATCTCTCGCTGACGCATGCCTCCTGGAGGATACGTGAATGCGGTCTGGGTCGGAGATTGTGCTGGGGGCTGATAAGGTGTTGACTGAGTCGTGACCGCCGATGTCGCCGGGGAGGGGCTCCGAGTTGATGTGGGTGGTGCACTCCGGCTTTTCTGAACCTTGTATGTTTGCATCTGGATAGACGCAGTAAAGCTTCGCGTGCCCGTCGGCGTAGTGGCCGCTACAGGGTGGGGCTCAATTCGAGCGTTTGTCGTGGGGTTCAGGTACCGGCGCAACGCAGCCGACGGCTCCTCCTCGAGTACTGGTGGCCTTCGCTCATCCGTGTAAGGCACCTTGGGGTCGATGGTGAGAATGGATCTCGTGAGGAAATCGTCGGGCGGGATAGACGAAAAGTTAATGGCTGAGATAGATCGTGCAGCCGAGCGCAGGGCGCGGAGTGATGCAGTCAGATTGGACTTGAACGCTGACTTGAGAGGGCGCAGCGGGAAAGTGTAGTCAGAAAATGAGAACTCTGACTTGGTGTCCTCTTCATCTTGAGACTCGTCGAACACTCTAAAGTCAATCTCGTCGACGCTGACCCGATCGCGGGACAGTGGGTGGTCCTCGGGCTGACCGAGAGGAGATGAGATGGGTTCCAGCGAACGCCTGGGTTGGCGGGAGCGCTTCCTCCGCGGGCTGGATCCATAAGGTGACTCGACCGACGACAGTGTGTCGGTGGAAAAAGAATCGCCTAGTGAAGGAACCGATTCCACAGAAACAGTTCTGGTAGATAACACGGAACCAAGACCGCTATCGCTAACTGACATATCATCGTCTGTCAGGTCGTCGGGTGGCGATAACAGCAAGTCTAGGGGGCTCTTGCCGAAAGTGAGACTAAGTTCCTTTTCGCAGACTTGCTGTCTCTCGATAACAGCTTCCAGAGTCATTGCCTGGTCCCTGGATAGCCTCTGCCTCAAGCTGCGTCGAGGTCTAGGAATATCAGTGACGGCCAGCAAGGCCAGCATGGCAGGCGGGACGGCGTCCGGTGAGTGAACATCCCTCGGCCGGGAGGGCTTCCGATGCGCATGGCGGCTAGAGGTGTAAAACGGGGTGGCCTTTGATTTTGAGGGAATCTGAACAGGCGTAGTCGGGGTCGTCGGTCTGGTGTTTACGCTTGTTGTTGTCCGAGGAGGGCTCGAAGGCGCCAACTTAGAAGTTTCGCGGCGAGCATCCTTCCTTTTGGCCATGGTAGCTGAGGTGGTAATGGAAGAAGTAGGGATAGGCGTGAGGGTGACGGACACGTTCTGAGCATCCTTTTTCCGATCCAGTAGGGCAGAAGGCAAAGCCGTTCTGGGGATGTTGACGGGAGTGGTTGTTGTCGTCGTCTTCGTGGTAGCAGCAGCAGCAGTCGTAGTAGTAGCAATGGATGATCTCGGGCTGGCGGCGTAGCTGTTGTTGATCGGTTTGCGCGTGAGATTCGAAGGGGAGGGAGAAGATGGTGGAGTGGTGGTCGAGGCCGAGGGCTGCCTATTGTAGTAAAGGAAACTCCTTGGGGACATCATGGCGGCGTCTGGACATGCCCTGGTGCGCCAGTGGCTCGGCGGGGCAAGCCGGACCCGACAGGCAAGACAGGTTGACAGGGAAGGGGTGTGGAAGGGGACCAGACCAGGCACGAGTGCGCACGAGCACAACCACAACCACAACCAGCTCGGTGCCGCAGTGCGTTGGGCAGGGGAGGAGGGTGTAACTCGGGGTGTGGTGCTGTAACCGGGACTGGGCCTGGCAAGGCAGGTCAAGAGCAAAAGCAAGCGGGCTACTGCGGGCTCAGTCTTGACTGTTCAGCATAAAACCCCAGCGGGCCAGGCTAAGCAGGAGATGGGTTGGGTTGACCAGTGGAGTTGCGTGGGCACGGCGGGCTGGTGGTTCAGACACCACAGACCAAACCAGTGGATTCACTGAACTGATGTATTCCGTACAGGCCACACAGTGTTGGTGCCAGCAAGGGCGAGAGTACTGTGCTATGGACGAAGTAGGTAGGGATACCTGCACGATTAGGGGACCAGTTCGGTCAGAATTTTGGCGTCGAACGGACGTGCTCGTCTGGCCTTTGGCTTTCTGCCTTTTTCTCCAGCGCGTGTACTGTATCCTCTTTCGGTCGCTGTTTGAGTGTGTCGTGTGCCGGGGGCAGGGGTCGTCGATGTTTTGGTAACGTAAAGTTAACCGTCTCGCAGCTAATCAGCGTTGAGGCTTTGTATAGTCCTTCTCCAGCAGGAATCGCGACGGAACTTTCAAGGGCAATGATTGCTGGGACGTGACGCAGCGGAGCACGGGGCCGAAAGGCTTGTATCGTATAATGCGATGTGATGCGTGGTTCCTGGTGGTATTCGGACCCGGCTTTTGACGGGAGCTGCAGACGAGGCGAGGGATCGAGGAGCAAGGAGGCGGGTTGGGAGAATGTTGCTTGCTGCCCTTGCAGATAGGTACTGACAGCGTCGAATTTGGGTTGGGTTTGTGTGTACCAGTGTACCAGTAATGTCGGTGCAAAGCGCGGTTTGTCACTTGTCTTGTGCTTGAATAGAGTGTGGAGAGCCAAGTGCGCGCGAGTCGGGTACTTCGTCAGAGGTTAAGAGGTGACAATGATCGACTGTGTGGAGGATGCTATTGTCGATTTGCACCACAGGGAAAGGCCTGACAGCGACTTGGGGTATTGATGCTTTCGTCCTTGTGAGATGGAAGGATAGGTTGTCGTGGACTGTCACGAGGAGAAATTCGAGACTCGAGATGACGATGTTGTCTATTAGTATTAGGTACGATTAGTCGGATGTTCGTCTCGGAAAGGCTGGACCTGGAGTTCTGTGATGGTCGGAATCCGGTGTTATCGGGGTAGATGATGGGCTTGCGAGAGAAAGGGTACTGATTAGCTATTGGTATCGTATCCGTTGCGCAGTGCCTTGGTCGAGAAGGAGAGATGACGACAGTCGGCGAGTTGAGGAGTGGCGAAGTGAGGAAGCGAGAGAGAGAGCGACTCGCGTACTTGGCGGCACAGTCGCAGTTGGGAGGTCGAGAATGGCTTCCTAACAAGAAGCAGGCACAAGATGGGAGGCTCTCTGGTTTTAGGTGGCCAAGCACAGAAAGGTTATCAGACTGGATCGAGGTTGCCCTGACTGATTACGGATGATACAGATATGTCACTTCATCGAGGCAATCGAAGCACAGAGAACTTGGAAAGGCAGCGAGCGAACAGCAGATGGGCCGTGGACTGGGGCAAGCACTGATGCTCTGACACTGATAACCCTGATACGGGGGGGCCAAGATGGGAGGCCAGAGATAAGGAATCGAAGGGCAAGGTGTCGAGGGTGTGTCGACGGTCGTGGAGCGTGGTGTGGTGTCCCATCTCCCCTGCCCGCCCGGGCTGGACAGCTCAGCATGGGGCAGTCGCCAGTCACTCACTCTCTCAGTCTCGGCAGAGAAGGAAGTCAATCGTAAAAATGGCTGAATGACTAGAGGCACGGGGGGCAAGAGGCAAAGCAAGGCAGAGCGAGGCACGCCGCATCTCTGGGAAAGAACAACCTCACTCCACGGTCTCAGCTGAGAAAGGACATTGCCATCCATGAGGTAGGTAGGTACCCGTAGACATGTTCTTTCCTTCTTGTCCCATTTTCTCTTTCCCTCCCTTCCCCCTACTTGCCTTCCTGCTGCGTGAGGGTAGGTATCTGTAAAAAGTGGAAGGTACGTAGGTACGTGGTGACTTGGCAACTTGGGAAGGCAGCATGGAAGTCAACCTGGTATTGGATGGAGGTACTTGTAATATCGGCCCAACCTGAAGGAAGAAGGAAGGAGGTGCGCCTACCTCGTTTGCTCCCCCCCGTCTGTCTGCCTGCCCGATTTGGAGATGTTTCTGTTCGTACCCGGTCACCAAAGGCAGCAAGACCGAACGACAAACGAAGGATGGGCGCACCGCCGCACAGGCCCGGCTGAGTACCTACACCACTACACCTAGGTCCCTAGGTAAGGTATGGAAGGAAAGCAACAGACAGACTTGGGGAGGGTTCACTTTCCAATTCTATTGTCACCGTGTCACGTTTTGGTTGCGCAGGAAGCAAAGTCACTGATAAGAACCTCGAAAGCCTCCAATCCCCTTGCCCCCATGTCCTTTCCTCACCCTTCCCACCGGCTACTGGCACAGCGTCACCTCTCACCCGCATGTTTTGGGCTTAGAGTTTGGGGTGACATGAGATTTTGGGGGTCCAAGACGGCCAAGGGCTCAAGGGGGAACACGGGGAATGGAGACCACGGGGGTCACTTTCTCTCTCTTCCGTTCCTATGTCTCTCCATCAGAGTCTCACTCCGATACCTGAATCCAAAGGTCACGCGCCAGAGTTCCAAGCCCTGAGTCCAACCCCAGTCCAAGATGCTCCGTATTACTCTCCAACATCAACCTAGAAATTCCGTCTATGAATACCTTCTTGTTAATCACAGATTATAAATACACACTCCGGGCAACGCCCGAGTTCCATCTCACTGTAACAATTAAAGGACACGACCGACGGCCACTGGCAAGCACGGAGCCCTCCTCCCTCCATGCGCTAAATGACACTCTCCACAGGCTTGAATTAACCCCTTTGCGCCCATCAGTGGCTCTGGAACAGTGGCTCTGGAACAGTGGCAGATGGAAACCAGCCCGTCATAATAGTGGACTCATTTGATGAGTCTAGCGGGCATGGCCCAAGACAATCAAGACAATCAAGACAATCCCACGACTCTTCAGCAGGGTCTCACCGTGAGAGTGCCCGGCTGACCCGATCATAGGTGGCCCCCGTCGACGATTGTGGAAATGGCGGACCGCCACTTGTTATTTGGTTGTGGGCCAATGAGAGCGATGGGATTGTTTCGGGGATAAGAAAGCAATCGACCACCTTATGTAAGACGCATAACTATCCGTAAGATACTTTAGGTATGTTCAATCAATGGGAGTCTGGGAGATGTGGATGTGAAGCTCAAGGCAGTGGGCGGTGACGATGGTACCTACTTTGCAGACCCGTTTATTTCCCACTCCCTGGCACGCTGTTCTTGCTGCATTGCACCTATCAATCTGTCCGCCTCCACACTGCGTGACTGCCTGCCTCTAAAAGGCCTCCAAAAGCTGGCCACTGGTTGGAAGGCGCAGTCTGGCAGTTCAGCTGAGGTGGAAGGTCCAGCCTTGTTATGCAACGTGCACAAGCTTCCATTCTCCTGTCAATTTATGCGCATCGGCTCGTTTATGCGAGTCCAATCAGTGGATATCTAATCATGTACCTAGGTGCCTTGCATTTGACTTCAACCTGTCGTGTGCCTCGTGCTTCTCCTTCTTATCAGCGTCCACCAAACACCGCAAGCCACCCCCTTCGACACTTTCGTCCCATCAATGATCCCTCCCCCATCTTGTCCGACCATCTCAGGCGCCAATTGCACATCTTTCCGAAAGCCCTCCGTGGCACCTCCATCTGGATCGCAGGTCCCGGCCGACCGAACCAGTGTGAATAATCTACACAGTAGCGTGCCTAGCAGCTGCTGTGTGTGTTGCTGCCCTGAGCTGACCAGAACCCTAGATATCAAGCACTGATCGTCTGTAGAGGTTGCTAATTCTTGTGGCCATTCTCAGATCTCGGCCCTCGACTCCGAACAACGCTGAGGAAACAAGACGCACCGGAACTTCCGTTCTATTGTGAACACTAATATCCGTATCGCGCCTGGAATTTCGGACGCAGCTCAGCCCGAGAGCCAATGCCCATATCATCGGCCCCGTTGTCGGAGTCTTCATCTTTCTAGTTGCAGGCCTCCGCAACGTCCGGTCCTTGGCTTCCTTATCGGCCTTCTCCGACCCCAGGTTATTGCTAAGCCGTGCGACGGTGCGTAGCTTTCTCGCTCCTCCGCCAGCTTGCAGACATCCATTTCTCCAACCCCTGTCAACCTCTACCATTCGCTCTCATCGACGAGACAGGTAGGCGAACGGAGAGCAGCCTTCGACCATCTGCCACCAGGCTAGTCTTAGCGCCATTTCCAACTCACTTTCCGTCCCATCCGCTCTGATGGTCGCCCAATTGCCCAGGCCCCATGTCGCTCGTTCGTCTGCTTGATCCAATAGCACTTGGCCGGAGCTTGTCGATGGTCCTCGGGAAACCGATACGGGATCCCACCCGTGCGACGGCCTACGTCGATCCTCTGGGCGCCTCTCCCGCTTTCAGCACCGTCGGCGGTGTCATCACCATCTTCACCTGGGCAACAAGAGCAATACGTCTGCGCCAGGTTAAGCAAATGACGGATGGGATGCATTTCCGATGACTGTGAACTCGCTCGCTCGTCCGTCCGTGAAGCCACATCCCGGGCAAAGCGCTTCAACATTGGCATCCATAAAGTCCGAATCAGCCTGACCTACTATAGTCCTCGCCTCGGCCACAAGAGCCAAGGCTTGGGCAACAAGCCAGAAATTTGCCTGATACGAATCGTCAGTCCTGGATAGTATTTAGGTTGTCACGTTGTGCCCCGAGGTGTGCCTCGCTAGCAAGCGCAACTTTCATAAAGCCCGGAAGCCACGCGGCTACGGTGGTATTCATGGAAGAACTGCCTCTAAATGATATTGAGGACTGTCTCAGTGGGCGTTGTCTCACCCGTCTCGTCCGCCTTACCCCGCCATCTTGGCCGCCCATCACTTCCATCCCTATCAATACCGCAAACATCCAGCCACCGATTCGGTCTTTTGCATCAGTTATAGATGCCTGAATGCGACGCATCGGGCCAGTAGCAACCGCCCAGATAAAGCTCGCAAAGCAGGCAGCACATTATCTCACCCGTCATTTGTCGCATATATGACGGACCAATCGTCAAATGCAGCCATGTGTAGCAACATGAGACGACTCTGGTATATCCGTACCCTCCGAACAGTGTATGGAATTACAAAAGACGACATTCAAACACCGGGCCAGCCAGCCGCTTACACACACCTGTGTGTGGTCAAAAACCGATCAGACTGGAAAGTTACCTAGCGCATGGCCAGGCGCGAGCAAGAGTCATCATCTGCACCACCCTAAATCTAGCGACGCCATCCCACACCCTCACGAGGGTCTCAGATGCTGCCTTATCGCTCTCTTCTGATTCGCTTATTTCTTCCCCAACTCTGCGTCATACAACGCCGGCATCGTCGACTGGGCTCTGGCGCGGGTGTGGGTGGAAACGGGGATGGTCGTTGTGGGTTCTTGGAGGTTCAGCAAAGAACTGAGTCGGAGCCATGTCAAGACATGGCTGACTTCTCCATGGTTTGCGGGGTAAAGCCAGGTGAGTACCTACCTCTGCCCGGCCGTCGGTATCCATCGCTTGTCCAAAGTTCGACGTCACGAATGTCTGTGGATATTACTCGTTTCTCCATTGCGACGGCGCGTCTCGCAGCTCGACAGCATCGGGCCAAGAACACGCATAGTATTGCTGCCGCGTACGAAATGGGGGCACGAACATTGGCGGGCCGCACACGCTTCCTTTCTATGCAAGTTTCGATATTGATCCGTTGGCCAAGTTACGGCGACCTCTAAGGTAGGCGACTGACTGCGCGGACTCCAACACCAACATCAGCGCCAAGACCCCAAAACACGGCTCCGGATCTCAACGGCGTCCTGTACTTCCGCACGGCCCTTCATTCTCTAAACTCAAACCCGCCAAATGCGCGATAGCCCGATACCTCACTATTCGTAGTCTTGTGGCCGCTTATTCCGGTACCACCCCTTCGAGACTCTGTGCGTCTTGTGCATGGCTGCAGACCTCACGTGCTCCCCGTCTGCTACTATTCGTGACCACACTTTGACAGCCATGTGCTCCAGCAGCAGTTGCTCACAGTATGGGTGGTCCTGGTAGGAGACATTCGAGCGGGCTGTCACGTTCTTGTCTTGACGACGCGGCCTGCCACCATCAGGCACATAGGTAGAGCTACAGTAAACAGGAGACGTGGTTGGTACTGACGAGGTGTCTTTCCAACTGAACCTCTCCTTCAGGTCTAGACCTTTCAGTCAGCTCGTGGCTTATTCTTGAGGCGCTCCCTGCTGCTTGCCTCACGGGTTCACTTTCGTTTGGTGAAGCTTTCCCCGCATTGGCGCTGTCGATTATGGTGACTGGAGCTATGAGACAAGCCTCTCGTGGGGAACGGTGTAAACCATGTAGACCCAAATGCCTACCTCGGGTCGCTCATACTGTTCCACAAGGCCGTTTCCCTTATGCTCATGTGCGATTAAGGTGCCCGCAAAGGGCAAACCATCACGAGCTCGGGGAAGAGAGAAGGTGCTAAGCAGTCTCTTGCAAATAGTGTTGGCGAGCTTAGGCTCATGATACTCCTGCAGACCAATGACCCTTGGCCATGTCCCTGTAACCAGGCTGAACTTCTGTCCCGGTATATCGTGCATCTACTTGGGTATAATGTGGTACATTGATGCGACATGCCAGTGTAATGTCTTTATGTGAAATGGACAACACCAATCCTCCTTTTCCAGCCTTTGATCCCGCCAATTCCACAGGCGTATCCCTAGGAGAAACACCCAATACCAGCATGTTCCGTTCCGTTCCGTTTCGGGGAAAGGGAAGGGAGGAGAATGGTCATCATGATCTCCCGACGACACCAGTTGATTGATATGCCTGAACTGAGCAACGCCGGCCGTGGTGTTTATGGAGAAACAAACTTGGATTTCTTTTGGATGGAGCATACTCATGTCAAAGGAGATGGTCAGATAACGAGTGAAATTTCTCCGAGCCCACTTTCCAAGCTGGCACTGTCTGCCTCTTTCGAGTTGTGCGTTCTTATTCTGCGTTTCCATCCGGGCAAACTCACTCTCGGAACAAATTACAGAGACGGCTTGCTGGATTAATATCAAACAAGTCACTTTTGTTTTATTTCACTCACGGGTATTCATCAAGATTCTTCGTTTGTAAACAGGCCTGGTGACGACTTGCCCACTCGAGCAAAAATCTACCTTTATACTTCCTTTCCCCATCCGTTAGTATCTAAAACCCCTTACCACGACGACGCCAAATATAGAACTTGCATTGCCGCCAGTTGGATTATTTGCATCACACACCTTTGTAATCCACTAGACCATTCATTCATGAAGGAGAGGCGAGTGAAGGCAATGATCGCGATTGAGATGTCGTAATGAATAGGTAGAATCACGATATCGAATTTGGAAATTCAAATGGCTTCAATTCACAGTCAGAAGGATCCCGCGTACCCAAAACAGCTTTCCAGCTCTCTTATTCAAGGCCTCAACTGATACCATCCCCTGTCGTCCGAGGGGTTATCATCCCTCATTCAATGTTGAGCTTGGTCTACCTTTTTATTTTCTTTACCTCTTCCTCCCAGTCCCGTGTACCAGGCGTATGAACTCTCAACATCGCAAAGTGGACTACATCTTCGGAAGGAAAGCATATCAAGGGTCTAGATAGTAACTCTTAAAAAGAATAATACACTCCCACTTGCTAGCCCTACCTTATACTTGAACTATCTACATCTCCTTCCTCTCCTTCCTCTTTCTCTACATCTCCCCTCTCGCCTCACCAATCCCCCAAAAACATCACATCGAAAGCACACAAGACCAAAAAGCAGAATAATGCAGTTATACTATCAGCATCAGAAATAGAACGTAGTTTGAATTTGAATATTTCCACAGCCAACGCCGGGTATTTAATCCCCTCTCCCTTCATCCTTCCACACAAAAAAACAAATCTAGTAGTTTGTCCCTCCCATCCCGCTCTTCCAACCCCGAGTCTACCCTTCCATTTGTTGAAACATAATTCTTTCCTTCCACCTTTTTTACTGTGCTCCAAAGGCAAGCAACTTCCATTTAGATTACAACCGCAGAAATCAGTTGGACCGCCTTATGACCCAGTCTTGACCCGGCTCAAACCAGGAAACCTCTTCGTGCCCTTGGGACTCTCAGGCGCAGCATTCGCGTCCTCGTCCTCCCGCTCAGGCGTATCTTCCCTCTGCCCCTGGCCCTGACTACCGCCAGCCTCCTTCTGATTCCCATCACGCTTCCGATGCGTCAGCGCACTAAGTTTATCCCTCAAAAACCCGCTCCCGGCAGACCTCCTCCGATCACTCGACTCCGCGCCCGTCGCAGACCGTGAAAGCGAGCGAATCGTGCCCCCGCCAGCCTGGTCAAACGGCGCCAGACTACTCCTACTAGAAGGCCTCAACAGCTCGAACCCCAACCCTTGCGTCGGCGCCCGGCTATCGAGCGGCGTCGGCGGCGTCATCATGAGGAAACTGGGGACGGCGGGCTGCTGTTGCTGTGATTGCTGCGTTTGGAGACTTGACTCGCCCATCCGACGGGACCGCCCGCTTGCGACGCTGGAACTCCGACTCGTCGACCGCGGGATGGGAATGCTGCTCGCCGAGCTGCCGTGGTGCGAGCGCGGCGGCGAGCGGGAGTAGTCGACAGGCGAGTTACCGTATAAGCTCGACGAGTCGTCGCTGTTGTTGATGCTCTCCGCGTCATGCTGGGACGACGACGAGGGCGTGGGTGCGATGAGCGAGGACCCGCTGGCGAGTTCCCGAAGCTTGCTGGCTTGCGTGTTACTTGGGCGATGCTTGAACTTGTTGCCGATGATGGCACCGGTGTGCGAGATGAGAGCCTTGATAACTGCCTTCTTGAGCGCGAGAGCCAGGTCGAGGTTCGACCACGTCTTGTTGCGCCACTCGACCGCCGGCATGCGGAATACAAAGTCGTGCACGTCCTCCACGTTGCGGTTGTCTTTGCCCTTGTAGCTGAGGCAGAGCACCACCGAGGGCATCTTGATTTGCGCAAAGGTCATGTAGTTGCTGGCGCGTGACATCATCTTGGTGAGGTCATCCGAAGGTTTGGAATCCTCCGCTTTTGATTCCTTGCGCCGACCAAAGCGCGACTTCTTGTCACCGGGAAGTGTGCTCTCCTTTGACGAGAAGCCGGTCGAGGTACGACCGATTCCTGGGCGAGGCTCTTTCGTTGACTTGAGTGACTCGTACGAAGGCTTCTTGGTCGGGACCTTGCCTGTACCGACGGAGCGGAAGAGACGGAACGTATGGCCCTGGCCCTCGCCTGTGTTGACCGTGAGTGACTTTTTGCTGTTTATTGACTTGGTCGGAGAGTCTGAGTTCAGTGTTGGTTGCAGACGCAGTTCAAGCGAACCCGGTCGTGTGCTGAATCCGTCCTTATCGCTAGCAGTCAGACGACCAGAGCCAGACATCGAGTCGTCATCTTCATCGTCGTCCTCGGTGGGCTGGTGCTTGAGCATAAAGGGAGAATCGTTCTTGTTCTTGTTGTCGCCGTCGATGCCTGGGAAGATGTACTCAAACACCCTCTTGCCAATCTCACGTTCCAGTTGGATCTTCATGGGGAACAAGTTGACCTCGAAATGATCCATAACGGGGATACCGGCGATGGCTTCAAGCATGTACCAGTATACGCGAATCATTTCTTGATTGCCCATGTCCTTGTCGCCTTCGGCGTAGGGCGCAATGATCTCCGGGTACATGGCGTCAGGGAGTAAGTTCAGTCCAAAGACCTTGCCAACCCTGATCAAGTTGATATGTGACCCGTCTGCGTTATCAGTACGATCATACTCCACATCCTTGAGCTGCAGCTCGACGAGCGGTTCCTTGTTGTCTCGAAGCATGTGCCAAACCGTGTCGCGTGCTGTGATGCTCCACCGGAGTAGAGCATTGCTTTCCGAGTTCGTTT